TGGGTATCACATGCCTTCTATATTGGAGTATTGCATGCCTCTGTGTTTGGGCATCCTTATGCTTCTATATTGGAGTATCGCATGCCTCTAGGTCTCTGTTAGATTATCACATGCTTCTATATTGGGTATCGCATCACCTCTGTGTTAGGTATCACATGCTTAGCTTCTATATTATCGTATCGCATGCCTCTAGATCTGTGTTGGGTATCACATGCCTCTATATTGGGTGTACGCATGCCTCTGTGTTGGAGTATCACATGCTTCTATAATGGGTATCGCGCATGCCTCTGTGTTGGAGTATCACGCATGCTTCTATATTAGTTATCAGCATGCCTCTCTGTTGGGTTATCACATGCTTCTATATTGGATTATCAGCATGCCTCTGTACTGGGCATGGACGTAGCTATATTAGATTATCCCCATGCCTCTAGATCTGTGTTGGGTACCACATGGCTTCTGTGATGAGTATCACATGCCTCTGTGTTGGGCATCACATGATGAGAAACTGTCATCACACGTCTCATGGGCTAGTGTAAATTTATATGGTACTCCACGTTTCAAGGGGTTAAATTCTGGCATCCCAATCTTTAGGGTGCGAGGTCTGGCATGACATGCACCTCTGTCAAACCTTCTCCTCCACAGGGCAATCCCTGCTGCAAGATAGACCATCAGGTAATGTCTACTTCTGCATGCACCAGCATGTCCTGGGGACCGCACCATCATGCATGGATAGCCGCATACGGACTACCAATCTACACCCAAAGACTGCAAGATCCTTAATGCTTATAGCTGACGCGTGAGTCATACGCTTGCGGCCATGTCCTAATATACATGTTCATATACACCAAGTGTCTTCGTTACATGTGGTGAGGTCTTAACTCAGACTCTGTGGCGGTGCCGGGTGTACGTGCACCGACTACTTTCAGAGAGTATTCCCAACAGTTGCCAGAGCATCTAATTCCCGGTATAACGTTATCAGCTGCACATAAAATACACACCCAGAACGCCTGGAAAAACTGGAAGTGTCGAGGGAAGCTAATAGATGTGGTCTGCATGCTTTCATGCCGGGTTTGCACTGGCAAGAGCGAGCCAGGACTGACACTAATTCAATTTCAATCTATCAAAACCAGTTGTAACTGGGAATTAACAGTTCGCGAGGTGGGGTAAAAGCATTAAACTTCCTCCTTCACCGTGAAAACACCAACCAACTAATTTCAGTTTTCCTGACAAAGAAAGACCGAAAAATCTACATGTAGAGTCTGACGACGACAATCGATGATAGGGGCGTCTTAGTGATAGCTTTAAGAGTTGGTTGATTAAGGAAGATTTCCTAGCGTCAATGCCTGCAGCAACCCTAAGACGAATGACACTAAATTAGGGGGTAATCAAATAGGTCCCGGACTACAAATACTCGTAGGAACAAGCCAACAGGCACCGGTTGGAAGTAGCCCGCCTCTTGAGGACCTCGCTGTATCAAACACGATCTCGAGGCAATCTAATAGTACAGATCGTGTTCATGACCACATCTGCACACGACACGTCGCCCTCCTGGCACCGGTTATGATAACATATAGTTGAATCAGTTTTTGTAATGCGGTCTATATTCTGTTTTACACCAGCAAGATTTGGGTTTCATAGTGAAAAACTACACGATTTAAGCAAGATTTGATTAACTGTGCGAGGTGACTGATCTGGGACTGAGTGTCGCTCCAGCGGATGCTGTGTAATGGGAAGCTGAGATTCCAATGCAATGTAAAAGTTTACGTCCCTGTCCGTGACTAAATCTGCAGTAACGTGACATACAAGATAATCTAGGGGATGAATTAAGAATCGCCAAGTTTACCAAACGTGTTGTCGCTGGATAGCATTGATCATGATACCCGCAAGCATCTCCATCCGTGATAGGGGGTCTCGCGCCGCGTACACTGACGACTCTGTAACATGCTGCCCTGGAGGTACATGTGATATATATATTTGACAGCTATAACTGAAGTGGCAGGTAGATGCTGTGGGTAATGATCACGTTGAATGTCGAGAGTGCAAAGGGGTTTAACAGTTTAACAGTTCATTTCCTGACCCGAGTATGTTCAAGCCGAGCCAACGAGTCCTTGTCTCACCCAGCATACTGCCGGTTAACAAGGTAACATCGTTTAGTTGTACCTTCCTCTCTAGGGGGCAGACGCTATGTAGCTACTACACCAGTGAGGTAATGGGTGGAGTTAGTAAGGTCCCCATACTGCCGGTTAACAAGGTAACATCGTTTTGTTGTACCTTCCGCTCTGAGAGGCAGACGCTCTATAGCTACTACACCAGTGAGGCAATGGGTGGAGTTAGTGGAAGATCCCCCACTGCCGGTTAACAAAGGTAACATCGTTTTTGTTGCGACCTTCCTCTGAGGGCAGACGCTCTGTAAGAGCTCTACTACACCAGTGAGGCAATGGGTGGAGTTAGTAAAGGTCCCATACTGCCAGTTAACAAGGTAACATCGTTTTGGTTGCGACCTTCCTCTCTGAGGGCCAGACGCTCTGTAGCTACTACTACCAGTGAGGCAATGGGTGGAGTTAGTAAAGGTCCCCATGCCGGTTAACAAGGTAACATCGTTTTGTTGCGACCTTCCTCTCTGAGGGCAGACGCTCTATAGCTACTACACCAGTGAGGCAATGGGTGGAGTTAGGTCCCCATACTGCCGGTTAACAAGGTAACATCGTTTAGTTGCGACCTTCCGCTCTGAGGGCAGACGCTCTGTAGAGCTCTACTACACCAGTGAGGCAATGGGTGTTATTAAAGGTCCCCATACTGCCGGTTAACAAGGTAACATCGTTTAGTTGCGACCTTCCTCTCTGAGGGCAGACGCTCTGTAGCTACTACACCAGTGAGGCAATGTGGAGTTAGTCAGGTCAGGGAGACTATATAACGTTGTAGATTATCCCAGGTAAGGTAGTACTTGTCATAGCAAATGCAGCAGATATAGTATTGCCATCATCTCCCTCGTGATTCTCACCTTCCTCAAGGTGTGGT